TTTATTCACAGTTGCCAAAAACTTGGAAACAACCAAGATGTCCCTCAGTAGGTGAGGGAATAAAACTGTGGTCATCCAGATGATGGAATATTATTCAGCACCAAAAAGAAATGGCCCATCATGCCATGAAACCACATGGAGGAACATTAAATGCATATTACTAAGTGAAAGAAGCCAATTTGAAAAGGCTACCTATCGTATGGTTCCAAAGATGCAACATTCTGGAAAAGGCAAAACTATGGAGACGAGAAAAAGGTAGTGGTTGTGGGAGGGGTAAAGAGGGAAGGAGCGATGAATAGGGAGAGTACCAAGGATTTTTAGGGCAGTGACACTATTTTGGTTATACTACAGTGGTGGATACATGTCTTTATACATTCATCAAAACTCCTAGAATGTACACCACCAAGAGTGAACCTAAAGTAAACTATGAACTTTGGGTGATAATGATGTGTCAGTGTAAGTTTAGTGGGATGTTAATAGTGTAGGAGACTCTGCATGTGTGGGGACAGGGAGTGTATGAGAAATGTCTATACTTTCTGTTCAGTTTTTTTTTTTTTTAAAGATTTTATTTATTTGACAGAGACACAGCGAGAGAGGGAACACAAGCAGGGGGAGTGTGAGAGGGGAAGCAGGCTTCCCACCAAGCAGGGAGCCCGATGCGGGGCTTGATCCCAGGACCCTGGGATCATGACCTGAGCCGAAGGCAGACACCTAACGACCGAGCCACCCAGGCACCCCGGAATGAATTTTTTTTAACGATGATCTAACTATATGCTGTTTGTAAGAGACACAGCTTAGATTCAGAGACACAAATGGGTTCAAAGTAAAAGGATGGAATAAGGTATTCCCTGCCAGCAGTAACGAAAAGCAAGTTGGAGTCGCTATACTAATACCAGACCAAATAGGCTTTTAAAACAAAAGTTGTTACTAGAGACAGGGAAAGACATTTTATAGTGGTAAAAAATTAAGAAAATATAACAATTATATATGTACCTAGTAATAGAGCCCCCAAATATGCAAAGCAAAAATTGATAGAATTTAAAAAATAGGGCACCTGGGTGGCTCAGTCAATTAGGCATCTGCCTTCAGCTCGGGTCATCGGATCGAGTCCCCAGTCGGGCTCCCTCCTCAGCGGGGAGCCTGCTTCTCCCTCTCCCTTTGCCCCTCCCCCTGCTTGAACTCTCGCTCTCTCAAGTAAATAAGTAAAAATCTTTAAAACCCTAAAAAAAAAAAAAAAGAAATAGACAATTCAACAATAATAGTTGGAGACTTAAAACTTCAATACCCTATTTCACAAATAGAACAACTAGAGAGAAGTTCAACAGGAGATACAGACTTGAATAACACTATGAATCAGCTAGACCTAACAGTCATCTGTAGAGCACTCCACCCAACAGGAGCAGAATATGCATTCTTCTCAGGTGCACATGGGACATTCTCCAGAATAGACCATAAAATAGTCTCATTGAATTTAAAAGGATTGAAATCATGTGAAGTATGTTTTCTGACCACAATGGAATGAAACTAGAAATTGTAACACAAGTATCTCAAGTGTTCTGATTTGTATTTCCCTGTTGACTAATGATGTTGAGCATCTTTTCATGTGTTTTATTGGCCTTTTATCTCTCTTCTTTGGTCAAGTGTCTATTCAGATCTTTTGCCCATTTTTAAAAAAAAGATTTATTTATTCTAGAGAGAGAGTTGGGAGGGGGGAGCGAGGGAGGGAGAGTCCCAAGCTGATTCCCATGCTGAGCACGGACCCTGACACACGGCTCCATCCCAGGACCCTGAGATCATGACCTGAGCAGAAACCAAGAGTCAGACTCTCAACTGACTATGACACCCAGGGGCCCTCTTTTCCCATTTTTAAATTGGTTTTATGCATATTATTGAGTTGTGAGTGTTGTTAGTAAGTTCTGGATACAGGTTCTTTATCAGGTTGTGTTTTGCAAGTGTTTTCCGAGTCTGTGGCTTGTCTTTATACTTTCTTAAGAGTATCTTTTGAAGACCAGCAGTTTTAAATTTTGATCAAGTCCACTGACAGGGCTTAGAAGCAACAACACTCCGATATTAGTGAATACACTTAGCACCTAGATTTTGGTTTTAAGTGTACTTCTGCATTTAAAAGATTCTTAGAGAAATGGCTGATTCCAGGGCTGGGACAGAGAGAGTACAAGATGAGCCTGGAATATCTTGTATACCAGGAAGCAAGGAAGTGCTTAAAGAATATTGGAGATTAAGGGGTACCTGGGTGGCTCAGTCGTTAAGCGTCTGCCTTCGGCTCAGGTCATGATCCCAGGGTTCTGGGATCAAGCCCCGCATTGGGCTCCCTACTCCGCGGGAAGCCTGCTTCTCCTTCTCCCTCTGCTTGTGTTCCGTCTCTCGCTGTCTCTCCCTGTGTCAAATAAATAAATAAAATCTTTAAAAAAAAAAAATATTGGTGGGCGCCTGGGTGGCTCAGTTGGTTAAGCGACTGCCTTCGGCTCAGGTCATGATCCTGGAGTCCCGGGATCGAGTCCCGCATCGGGCTCCCTGCT